TCCAACGAGACACAAGGGAATTTAATGCGGCCTTTTCTCAAAAAAATGCCTTCAATTTCTGTTGTGCAATTTACGGTATAAATGACTAACTGTTTCCCTTCGGGACCATAAATTAAGTGTAGAGTGTTGTCTGATCGTCCGGGTGAGTGTAATCCTGAGAAGGACTGTTATCAGTAGTCACCACTACCGACAACAGCTCTTCTCAGGTCTCTTCTCTTCTCCAGGCTCTCCCATTTAGACTTTCAAGAATTTTTCGAATTTACAAAAGTACGCTCCACAAGGGCTAATCATTCTTATAAACTTTACTTCAAATTTTCGAGGATAAATTGTTTTAAAAACTCTTTTTTTATTAGGGTAGTTAGCGATTGGAACAATTTACCAAAGCATGTTGTAGAGGCAGGGACTCTGGAACTTTTTAAATTAAGATTAAAAATATTTTTAAAATTGTAAACATTAGATAGTTCCTTTCTTCTTCTTCATTTTTTTTTTTTCTGTACATAGTTCTACATTTGTTACTTTTTATTTTTTATTCAGGGGAGTTGTTATATAGGGCTAACCTCCAAACTCCCCTTTTCAAATTTTTATATATAAATTTATTTGTATATAGAATTTGAATAAAGGTGTATGTATGTATGTATGTATGTATCCACTCACCTGGATGATCGGACTACTCTATTATATAATGTTCTTAGTAATAATCAACGAACGTAGTCTATTCCATCTCTGTTAAAATGTAATGAGCATCAAATAGTCGAGGAGGACTTATCACATTTTTGTTCCAATTCCGGTCTGATTTTTAAGTTGGAGATTGCAATTAAATTTTCATATGAAAGGTCTAAAGGAAGATAACTTAACAAAAGCAAAAAACAGAATAATCTCTCAAAGGTAAACTCTAAATTTGTAATTTTCCCTGAGAAAACGTTTTTTTTTCGGCTTACGTATAATCAGCCACACCGGTCCTACTCTTGGGTACCTCCCATCATCGTGGTGTATTCAATGAAACTTGATTTAAAGTTGTCTCTGTAAATAGTTTCATGTAGAAGCTGAAAAATGAACAGCAAACTTAGCAGCGCTATAATTTTAAACGGATCAGTTTAATTGTTAAAATTCACTCAGCAGCAAGGCCTATCTCATTTACGTGCAATCTCTTCCTCTGGCGTAGCTGGTCATGTCCACGCTGTGTAGTCCTTCGCTCCAAAGCTGAAATCAAGGTATTTTACGTCATATCTAGATTTCGATGAGGAAAATTTTGTTTTGCTGACATAGTACGGTATCATCATTCTCACGTAAATACTTTGGATAATGGAACGAGAATTCGATACTAGATTCTAAATCCCACACCTTTGTCGTCTCAATTTTGTGATTAAGGTGATTTCTCAGTTTTGCACTGCGCATCTCATACTGCGTGTAAAAATTACCTAGTCAGGAGAATGAGTACCTGTGCATTCTGAGAACACGGTATTGTTATCAATCCATGGACCAGGTAGAGAGGAACGATACTCTTTAGCTCTCGAACGAGCAGAGTGACCTAAATTCTTTTGCATGATTTTGGTGTACAATTTGTCCCCTTTAAAATTGGGAAATTTAAAAAAACTCTTCGAAGGGAAAAAAAAAGATAAAGTTAAAAGCCTGCCCGTTACTCCAGGATGCAAATATACGACCTTGAAAGGAAAGACTCGTGGAATGTTTTGAGTCGATGTCATTTCAATTTGCGTGATTTTCCCACAAATTATATATCCACTTGTTCCCTATGCTCGACACTTCTGCCCATCAAGTTTTTCCAAGAGTTGCTCGAAAAGCCCTCCCAGCCCCAGCACTGTGAACCGATGAATTGATGCGCTTGATTAGTGCCAGTACAGGCATAAATGGGGTAAGTTTGGCCCACTTAATATCCTAGAAAAGCACGGTAACCGATCTTTTTTTATTGTATTTTCGAAACAGAAATTGACGAGGAACACTAAATGAAAGTTTAAAAGAAAATTGTTCGATAATCTTTCTTTCTAAGAAATCAGCTCAAAAGATGAGTAACACGAGTTGAGGTGAACCAACCAGAGAAATGTACGGAAAAAACCTTCATGCAATCACTCCCTTCATTTTTATTTTCAGTGCCGAGAGCCTAATTTGCAAAGATTTTTCTGCATCAAAGCGTCGTCAAGCTTCGCGCAAGGTGCACATTACAAGAGGCAATTGACCAGTTAAAAGTTGACGGGTACTGACGAGCCTGCATGACACTCCTGCCATCCGCAAGCGATTTTAAACTTCTGTCTTCAAAGATTAGATCTGACCGGGATTTATTTTAATTATTTTTTTTCCGGTGTAATTTTGAATAAGGTGCCATTTTCCCACCAGTGTGTTCTTGAGGTTCGGTAAATGATTAAATTTTATAGGCGAGCAGTGACGCGTGTGAGATGCTGGAACCATTCCTTTGAGGAATGGGGGGGTCTGTTTAAATGCAACTGAGGAGTAAATTTAGAGGGAATTATTAGACATTTGCGAAATCAGATTGAGCCAAATTCAGTGAGAATCGTGTTGAGATGTATTGTCGTTGTGTAAATAAAGAATTCAATTCTTTTCAACCGGGTCCCTAGTACTAATCAAAATGTCTTGGTATCAAGTATAGTTAACTTATTTGCACTGTTTTTAAATTGGAAAATGGCTGTGGGATGATCAAGGAAAAAAATTAGAGAGCACAACTGAAAACACCGGTGTCAAATTCATTGCATCGCGCAAGCGGCGCAGAAGAGTGGCCGAGGCGGTACGGAGCTGTGAGGGGGCGGACACCGGGGTCCTAACGAGGAATGAACATACACTAATTACAGCATGTTATATTTATTAAAACAATAAAAATATAATGCCCAACTTTCAAATCATGGGCTTAAATACATATCCTCTACGATTTGAATATTTGTCTCTTTACGCAAAATGTGTATTTACCGTCTATAAATAGTTTTGTACAAAAAATCGTGTTAATCACATTCGGGGTGCTTTTAACAAGAGATTTATTGCTACCTCTTCTGACCGTGAAACCCAAGCGCTGCAACTGTTTTTACTCGAGAATCATATCGGATACTTATGATTAGAACCAATATTTTAAAGCCAAGTTATGTGAGACAATGGAAAAATTATCGAGAATATACGAGGTCCGTCGATAGGGAGAAAATTTAACGCGCAAAATCGATTTGATTTCAAGAACATCCTCGATTTCCTTTCCATTTCATTAAGATGATAAATTAGAGTAGTCCAAAATAAGTGAAATAAAATGTTTATCAAAGAGGTGTTTCCAAAGTGTACTTAGATCGGGCAAACTGGGTGGTGCTGATGGAGCCATTCCGTTGCCTAAAGAGTTCAACTCCTGGAGTGGTTGTGAATTTGCTGGTCTTATCATCTTGAAAACTGTCGAATGCTTCGCTGCATAGTGTTGAATGGCAGGAATAAATTGCTGGACAATCTGTAGTGTCTAACAGCTCGATAAACGGGCAAATCTTGTTGAACTCGTTTACGCCAAGTTGTGTTAGAGATCGTGAACGGCTCACGTTTAAAGATTGTAGACGCCTAATTCGCCAGTAGGATAGACTTGCACCGAGATCCAGCAGGATTTCATCATTCAAAGCCTTTCCACTTCCAATAGCACAGAGTCCAAGGTACTCTAATGTTTGGATTCTTGCTATGCGTGGTAGCGCTGTCTTCAGCCCAGTTGGAGTAACGAGAGGACACCATCCTAGCTCTAGATGTTTCAAGGAAGAATATCGCCAAGTGATTCTCTGTAGAGTTTCGTCGTCTAAACTGATTCCGTCCAGAATAAGAGTTTTAAGCTCGGCGCAGGACTCCAGGAAATGTTCTACGAAGCTGCCGGTCAGAAATGAGCATTTTCGTACACTAAGTACTTCTAAATTGCTGCAGCGTGCAAACCCCATCAAATGTCTGTCTTTGAGTAGCACACAATGGCTCAAATCTAGTTTTTCCAGGTGTTTCATGCTATCAATAGTTTTTTCTAGTCCGCCGTTTGCTGAAACTGCGCGGAAAAAAGGGTCACAGAGTCCTAGCCATCGAACATTGCTCAGCTGATCTGCAATTGCCATGTAAACTCGGGGGTTTCCATGAGAAAACCTTATGTCTAGGTACTCAAGACTGCTAGGGAACATAATTTCATTTTGGCCACGGTTTCCTGTGAAAGCGCCATTTGAAAGAGTAGCAAACTTCACACTTTTCAGTTTCAAGACGCGCAGTTCCTTACAATAAGTGGCGAGAGCTCCCAGAGTTTCTTCGGTTAGAGTAAAGCCACTTAAGTCGAGACAGTTAACCTTTCCAGCAAATCTAGTGAAGGCTTGCGTTTGGAAGGTTATAGGGTCGATGAGAGATCTATAAAAATACTTTAAGTCGACGATTTTCCATAATAGGCGGTCGTATGACAGTCTGTTCCATAACTTACAAACTTGCGATGCCCGAACTAAGTCACGAATGGGAAGATAACTAAAAATTTTTACGAGCGTCCCCTCGTCCAGGTTGAAAACTGCTGACATTTGACTAGAGTCAACTTGGTCAAGATGACAGCCAACTCCAAGAACACGAGAAAATACGCTTAATGCGATGTCCCATCCAGGGATATACATCTCTGTCTCTGATGATTAGCCAGCCGTTACTTGTCTTCAAATGAATCGTAACAAGGAGTACCTTCGCATTTATGAAAACTATTTTTACCTCGTGTACATTTTCATCAGATGTCTAATAGGACGCGTGAAAGGTCAATGATAGCTGATATCAGCTTCCCGTCGTGCACACGTACGTGAACTTTACCCTCGGTTCTCTGTTGCCACGTAAATTAATTCATTTGACTTTTTTACCACATAAATTAATTTATTTGAATTTTAAGAAACAATTTTCGTTTATTTTTGTATCCCATTTTTTTTGCTTATAAACTCTCTTCTTGCACATCATTAGAGAAATAACCACTAAAAGTTGAAGAAAGAAGCCAGATAGGTGACCTCTGCGACACGCACTTTCCATGCGTTTGATAGAACCAAAATGCACACTTGTCACGCAGACAGCGCTGGCTGTGTACCGCACGTGGGATACGCAAACATTGCCCCAGGCATCACCTTCGCTTCTGCGCGCGTGTGAGCTTCGTCACATTTGTTTTCATTCTCTACGATCGTGACTGTAAAATGTTTGTGAAATTTTCACACGATACACTTGTTTGAAGAACTAACGTCAAATTCTATCGATAATATTTTCACAAACTTGCCTTGGATTGTCATCACTTGATCATGTGGTTGCTTTGCAAACATCGTGTCGACTTCCCATCGACTTCCGTTTGCTTCAAAATTTGTCCGAAAACTTTCTGACATACTTTAGTGGTTAGGGTCACCGAAATACTTCTCATCGATGGTATGGCGCTAGGGTATTTTTTTCTTCAATGAGAGACAACTGGAAATACTTTTTTATTTTTCAAAGTGGGATTCAAAAGGTTTAATTTCGAAAATTTTTGCAGAGATGCGTTTCACTCAATCGCCGGAATCGCGTCATTCCAAGTTCTCGATAGAAATCCTCTTTGCTGCGGTTTTCCTTTAAAATAACCGGCGATCTTACTTACTGGTATTTATCTCAATTTCAATCCAGTTTATCTCACGATTCTTTACGAAACAGTATCATTCCTTACACCTTTCTCAATGGCCGGAACACGTCACTCCAAGTTCTTCTTTGCCGTTTCCTAGTTATTATTCGATCTCTCGTAATGGTTTCTTTCTCAATTTCAATCTAGTTTTCTCCCGGCTAAAAACGGAACAGCGTCGTTCGTCAGCTCTGGGCAAGAAGCCATAAGTTATACGAACGTGCTTCCTGCCAGTGGGGTAAATTGGACACAAGATCACATGAATTATAATTAGTCAGCAAACAATAGTTGAAGAGGCTCCCTGAGTGAGGTAGTCTTAAAAAAACCACCCAGGGAGGAAAATAAAACAGAAAAGTACACATGCATCCAGAATTTCAAAATGCAATCATTCTTAGGAATAATTTTAATATTTGCGAACAATGAAAATAAAAGTTGCTATATTTATCAAAGTTTGTACCAAAACTGTTTATAAATCGATAACCACGATAACCAGAATACCTCGGCACACGCCGATCAAATCCTGGTGTTTTATAGCATGTCGTTTGTAGCGCTGTATGATGTTGTTATTATAAGGTATTTGTCTTGTCAGGACGCTCAGCTCGCACATTACTGAAAAATGTCACTCTAATTACTTGTTATGAAATAATTTAAGGAGAAAAAAAAACAGGTTTTTTGAGCTAAACGACTATAACCAAAGCGAAGTAGTACGTGCACAAAAAAATGAATACCGCTAAACTTTCGAAACTTCAATAGACACACGTGCTTAACACGTGGACTGTTTACAGAGTTCTTCGTCAGAACTATAATGGGTATGATGGCAGGAAAGTGTGAAAAATTATTGAATTAGAAGATCTCCGCACTTCTAATAATGCCAGCCGACTACGGATCTCAAAAACCTCTTTCATCCCGTTTAGAGAGAGTGCATCTTATGACGGACAAAACGGGGCTGCTCTTATTAAGTTTTCAAGCTCGAGGTCTATAAAATGGGGTTGTACAAGGGTTGAAGTTTTCCAGTGGAGGTTACATGAATTCGGAAGATAATAGAGATGTCATAACGCAAGGATTCTAACCGCCGGGGAAACATCGCCTCTGGAAACCGTTCGTTGAATACCCCTGGAGTCCATGACTGGCAAACCTAACCACTCGGTTTTTGCTCGTAACGTTAAAGGGGCTAATCAATGTTAAGATTCTAAACAGAAAGGAACAAGAGTTTACGTTTTTCCGCCCTTTAAAGTGTATAAACGCTCTCAATAGATATCGCAGTTTGTCTTTTGTCTCTTTCTCCATTCTTGTATTTGTAGAATACCCCGCTTGATTCTATTATGATCGTCAAGGTTTCATTAACATTAATTTTTTTCAGATCGGTCTGGTAATCGCGTGAGTTCTAGAGTAAACCAAGGTTTATGTCTCGTGACCAGAATAACGGCACGTGCATCACCCTTCACGCCAGTTCCCAGAACAAATTTATGATGTGACGCATGTTCCTTGCAATGTCACGCAGCGCTCCGTGACATCCCAAAAAACGTCTTAGGGTGTTACGAGTGAACCCGGCTTGATTCAGAGAAAGGTTTCATCGAAATATCCTTCAGTTTGCATGATCTGTTGTAATTTTAAGGACCTTATCTATTTCGCGACAACATAGGCGACGATAACGGGGACGTGCGTGTTACATAACAACCTACGATAAGCGAGATCAAATCTTCATGATCAGTCACGTAGCAAGAAGGACAGATGATTAATTTTCTGTTGTTGAAAAAAGAGGCTGGGCGAAATCCTGGTTGGAACCCTAGGTATAATATATCTTTCTAATTTGTTTAACCGTTTAACTCCCAGAAGTGACTAACATGTAACTTGTCCCTATGAAATCTATACGTTTTCTACCAAACGGTTAATGCAAATACTAAAACTTATCAGGAAGCGGTTTTATCTTGATCTTAAACCAAATTCTTGTAACTAATTTACAAGGAACTGTGTAACAGCAAAAGGAGAGAATCAGCGATCAGATCTTGGGAGTCAAAGGGTTAACCGTTCAACAGCATCGTTACGTTACAGTTTTAGCTGATTATCTGCGTTTGTTAACTTCGTCTTAATTTGACAAACACTTCTTTTCTCGATATAAAAAACGAATTATTTGCGAAAATTTCTTCTGTTAATTCTGAAAAATTATCCTAGAGTCACTTGTGACATTCATATCAGTTCCATTCTGCATTGGTGTTTATGCACAGATGGCAGCAGTAGCGTCAGAAAGTGTGACCTTATTCTCATTTTGTAAAACGGTTACACGAAGAAAGTCATAATCACTTGCTGTGATCTTCTGTGCCTAAAACACTGGATTTTGAAACACTCGCCTTGCCGTTTAGGATAGTTTTCGAGTTGCAAATTTTTCCTTGCTGATTGCATGGTAAAAAAGATGTAAAACGAAATTATCTCGCATTGCAAGCTTGATAGTAATCCGGTTATAAAGAAGCATGGTGAGGTGACTGAAGGTATCGCCACTTCCTCTGGACAGGATGCTATATATAAAACATTGCGGCTCATCCCCTGAGCATTTGTTTACCTTACGCTCAACATATATAAAAATACTCCCATGCGTATGAGAGCGCTGTGAGAGTATGGGGACGGTGAAGGAACTGGACTTTTCGTTTCATTTTCCAACGACCCTTAGAGGTTAAGTGGACGGAAAAAATGGATATTAGAACTTATTTTTGTCAGACTTTGATTCCACGTGTTCGAAAAAAGCGCCACTTCATAATCCCACAAAAAAATGCATGATTCAGTCAGGAGAAAATTAATCCTCTTGCATAACCGCGTACGACCTATTCTTGCTGAACGTACACGAGTTCGAAAAGAGCGCCAATTCAAAGTCCCACAACAAAACAATGCATGATTCAGTCAGGATTAAAATTAATCTTCTTGCGTAATCCCGTACGACCCTTTGTTGATGAACGTACACGTGCGGTTGCCAAACGTTGTACTTTGGCCAAAAACGTGGGCTCTGTTGCTTTGTTACTGTAAAAATGACCGACAAGACATAGTATATGTCGTTGTAGCTAAGCCTTGGAGGCTCGAAGAGATTTTTTTCCCCTTGCACTTCCGACCAGTGAAGTTGACGCCAATTTATACGGGGTTCCGCTCGTAGCGAAGTCTACCCGCTGTTCACCACAGAATCTCTTGTGTATCAAACATTCTCTGTAAATATAAGAGCATTAACTGCTTTTTATATGTCAAAAAATAATATTGTACACATGAGGTTGAGTTAACCAATCACGAAAAAAAAAAACAGCGTATAAATTGCAAGTTTCACCACTAACTGGATCACTAAATGACGATTTTCCGGATCACTCATCGTTTGAGGGGAATTAACGAGTGTTGACTGAAGTTATCTCCCCGTGTGATAATTTTCAAGACTTCACGTCCAGTACGTTACCGGCTGAGGAAGAGAGAGCTTCCCTCGTTAACAATATATTCGTAGCTACTGTTGAAGTTTTGGTGATTGCTGCCAGACTTCATCAAATTTGCATGCACTTCTCCGCCACATCTCAATTGATTAGAAAGACTTCCTCGACCATTTGTTAAGTCACTTTAATCTACCTACAGACTTAACAGACAGTCAAAACGTAAGTGCATCTTTTTTCCACTACGTTCAGGCTTCGCTGGCAGTGGAAAGTGATATCATTTTCACGAACACGCAAGAATTTTCGACTCTCGGGTTTCATTAATCAGTATTATGAAAAGTTTCGTCAACTCATGGGGCCTTAGAACAGAGACAGAGCTACTCGAGTAGATACGGGATAGGAAATATTGATCTCTCCTACGGTCACCGCGCTCATGTTAGGGTAAAGTATCCAGAGTCGCTAGGAGAGCTTGTTGTGGCATGTAAATCTCTAACACATTTAAATTTTCTCATTTACAAAGGAAACCAAAAATCGATTTTCAGTGGGAAATGGGGACATGAAGTTGTAAGGCTATCAGTTTGTCGCACGTTAACAGTTAAAATCACGGAAGTTTCCAGTTGACTTGAGCAAAATAAAGGTATCAAGGATTGTACGGACTACTCGCGGGCGAGTAGTCTGGCACTGTCCTGAATGTTACGTTACAGGCAGACCACGCTATGATTGTTGACATAAGACGAACTAAATGGATAAGGGTTATGACTGAAGCTCTAAAACTGCACATCTAAATTGACTCTCGGTCTGTATATCTCAATTAAGTGAAAATAAATGTTAATCGGCGCATTTGGGATATTTTTTAGCATTCATGGGCCGTATGTAGCGTCTTTTTATGAAATTACATTTAGCCGGAGGCCGTTAAGAGAAGAGAGGGAGATAAGGGTGGAACAACCCTTTCCGACTTCTCTAGCACTAAAATTGATGGCTTATTGAAGAGCACACCATCTCCTCAGTTGATTTCGAGACGCCTTGTTCCCTCACACCGCGTCGCATGATTATTAATCTTGCAGGATCATTAATAATGGTTTGAAGAGCTATTGTGGAGAAATGAAGATCAGGTCCGAGATTCTCGTTACATAACGTTAATTTTTGTCAAAAGCTGAGTAATCAAGTTGGAAACAATAAAACAAGGAGAAGAGTGGTTACAGCTGATTAGTAAAAATCTCAGATTTATTTGTGAAATAGTCTATAAATACACATCTTTTGAATTATTAATTTTCTTGAACTTGATATACAGACCAGTCTTGAGGAAGATTATTTCCATTCTTGCTTGTTGTGGCCTGAAAAAGACAAAGTCTGACAAACGAGAGCAGTCAGGGAACAGCAACATCAGCAACTTGCACATACGGTACGTAACCAATCTCTTCACAAACTGGACGGCCAGAAAATACTTCAGTACAATACTTACGGGTGATGCGTTAATCAATACACTCGCTTTATAGCTTTCTGCGAGTTCTCACGGAATTCTTGAAGGATTTACAGAATAAATTAGTTAAAAGTAGACCTACATTTGCCTATACCAACAGAAACACCTGGTCGCAAATATGAAGTGGGCCTAGAGTTAAAGAGTGCCTACTGCATATTCGCCTAAAATCAAATTTGCTTTTCCCTAACTAATCCAAGACTTGACGGAACGGGTTGACACGGAACGGGACGGGACGGGACAGGTCAGCTCGCTGTCAGGACTCCCTGGGAGAGCTTGCAGTCGATCTTGGTATCATCTGCGGTGAAGATAACGCCTAGATCTTGTAAGAACTTGAGACACTGCCCATCTTCAGTGAAACCTAACTCGGATTCAACGAAGGAGGCAGGTATAGTGGGGCGGTATCTGCGGCACACACAGCACAGCAGGACACAGGAGTAGGAAAGCACAAGGGAGTAAAGAAAGTAAAATAACAAGTTAGAACATCATTTCAACAACTAAAACCATAAAATGTCCATGCTTTACAGCATTTCCATACAAAATACGGCAATTTCTCACAGTGCCAACTTTCACATCCCACTAATTCCAGGGATAATTCCTCCAATACACGTCTTTTTTTTTTGACTGGACAAAGTATAACGCACGCAAGAAAAATGCGCTTTAATGTAAGTAAACGATAGGATCGAAGGAAATACCCTCCAAGAAAATAGGTAAATGCTACTCTTTGCAAAAAGGCCAAAAAGATGTAAGCACAGTGGGAAAATCTTGGGAAATCACTTGACCACAGTGCGATGAAAGTTTGTGAAGATTTAGCATTACTAATGTTTTACACCCTAATAACACCTGGGCCTTGAACAGGAAAATATTGAACTCATAGCTATATACAATAATCCTTCGAATTTAGGTCCGAAGGCACAAACATGACTAAAAAGGTAACCACAGAAACAACGATGACACTACTACGATACACACAAACAATCATATATCATGCATCATCTTAGGGCATGTTTTTATGACTTAGACCACAAGACTAGAAAAAAAGGGGCAAACACAATTCTCCTCAAGTTAACAAATCAGAGGGACAATGTGTGGAGGTTTGAACACAAATTGAATGTGGAAAACATCAGCTCGAGTATCGGCAAAGTCAGAAAAAAATGCTCTAAAACATCTGGGAAATGAGATTGATGATCGGTTCATTTTTGCCTTTCCTTACAAATTACACTAGAACAGCAGCCAGTGGAAATGACCAATTTCACCTTAATTGAAAATAGGTTTTTCTTAAAAAACAAATGGTACATTTGAAAATTCAAAATTAACGAATGAACAGATCGCCATTTTCCCAAAAAATAACACACAAAAACAACCCACGATTTGATCATGGCCCTCAGAGCTTGGACTCTCTCGCGCTGTACAAAGAGATCTAATAGATAGCCTGACATGTTGGGTGCATTCAAGTAGAGCTGGAAAAAAGTGTGATAATTAGACAAAGCCCAAGCTGAACGTATTAATAATGCGTGTTTTATTGCCGGGTCCGCTTTCTCTTCTTTTGTCAAATGAGCCAAGGCTGTTGTCAGATCTGAGACCTACAGTCAAGGAAGATGTCACTGCAATCAGTTTACTTGTAGGTATAACAAAATTGTTGCAGAAAGAAACATAAAAATACCCTAGGATCATTTGCTTTCCGTTAACACTAAGTATAAAGCCTTTTCCTTTGTTCTTGAGTCTTATCATTGCCGGTTAGAAGTCTGATTATATGCATATAAACTAACCGAAGTTGCACCTTCAACTGGACACAACTCTGAAGAAAACGGGATTTTTGCATCTTGAGAACGAACTTCAAGATTCAAAATACTAGCCTTGAAATTGTGGTGAAAGAATGTGTGGAGGCCATCTTGCCTCTCCTTTCCCACTCTCCCATGCCCCCTTACATTCAAGTCACAGACAGTAGCTTGGTGAACAAGTGCAAGCTTACAATGCCACCTTTTGCTTCTATGAACACAAGACACCCCAGAGCAAGCCACTTAGTCAACAAACACCACAATTGAGACTGTATATATGAAATAAGACTATACGTGAAATCAAGGATACCCAATGTATTTTTGGTGAGAATATAATAAAGCAGTCTATAGGCAGTAAACTCTACAACATTTCCCGGCAAATTTTCAGCATACAAGGCTTTCAGCTGTGTCTGACACTGGTTGAACTCCTCTCTGTCTCCCTGAAAGGTTGAAAATGATAGTTATGACCTGAATAACATGAATTGGCATTGGCCTGCAATGAATGTTAAATGTTACCTTTAATCAAAAATCTAAGTATTTGGAATGTCACCCACAAAACTGTATATTACGACTGCATCTGTCAATAACATTACTGTATGCAATTCTTCCTTTCCCTTATCTTGAACAATTAACTTCATAGAAGTTCAAGTGATATTAGCAAAAACAATTTATCAGAACAGTTTTTGTATCAGAAAGCTTGACATTGAATGTAAACCTATAAAACTGGTCAATTTCATGTTAACAGAATGTGTTAGTTATTTACAATGAATTTTTCCCTGTAGCAAGTTCTTACCTTCTCTAGGGCTATCCTGGCATGAGTTTCATAGACTTGTACAGTGAAAGCATCTCTAATCCCTTGCACCTATCACAGAAAATTTCACAGTCACCCTCTCTGGACTGTATTTCAAATCAAAACACATATTCAATGTACTTACAGTGAGATCCTGACGGACAGACTTAAGTTGCTCACAAACATAAGTGTAGTCTTGCTTTTCTTTCCAACGGTTTTTGATCATTTCCATAGATTTGCCCAGTACCTCAACTGGACGAACAGTGGAGGGGTCTGGTGCCTATTAAGAAACCGCATGTAAAGTGTGATTTCAAAGACTCCAGGCCACTAAGAATATTCATATATGTACCCATAATTTCAGCTGAAAACAATTCAAGGAGGTATGACATGTATTATATTGGCATAAAGTTTCACATGACATGCACAGGAGTGCAAACTAGCACAATGGTTATAAATTGCAACTGCAGTTTGACTGCCATAGTTCCAAACACGACTCTAACAGACAGGTAAATGTGAAAGTGTTTCAATCCCTAGATGAGTTCCAGACATTTCTATCAATGCACAGTTGTGCAAAATAGGTAATGTTTATTATAGGGTTACACTATTATCAAATTTTATGTTTACTCAACTGAATGTAAGTTAAAGAATTATTTCCACACAGCCTTCAAACTAACAATTTTTTTAAAAGGGTTGATGAAAATTCAGAACAAAGAGACAACTGTAGAATTGAAGGGTGTACTTAAATGTTTAATAAAACTCACTGAAGTAAGCCTGAGGTAGGGTTTTTCTAAGTCTTCACATGTTCCAACTACATGATATTTGCTCCAATCCATTTCTTCACCATCTTCACCAAATGACTAAAATTAGAAAGACAAATGAATAAAAAACAAACCCTATTGGTAAGCACAATTGAACTAATGAACATATAGATCATAGCCAAACAAGGAAAAGCCATTCATGTATACAGAGAGAACACTGAGGATATAGGTTCTTGGATGTTGTTAGGCACAAAATAATATGTTTTTAAAGACATCCTTCCTCCTTTAAAGTATGTTGCACCCTATGGTACTGCACCATTTCTTGGCAAGCAAACCTTTATGAAAATTTGCTGACCAGTAAAAACTGTGTGTAGTTAACAGGACCATAGTGATGAACAAACAAACATAGCCAGAAGAAACTCAAGATGATCAACAGACATTTGGTGCACTTTAACCACCAGTTTTGACTACAGATACAATACCTATTGAAATAAATAAAGACTGTTTCACAACAAAGAGAACAATCAGCTAGCACCAATTACTCAAATGCACTTGAGAGTAGTCATGTATGCTTGTCTGGCAAGACTAGTATATGTTTGGTCCTCTACACTAACCAGGCACTTTTTACACAAATATTTTGCTTCTTTTATCTTTGAGCTGCACTACACATATGCTTTATGATATTTTACTAAAGGAATGTAAGGCAACTCTCACCAAAGAATGGATGGTGTTTAAAATACTAGTTGCCATGGGCCTTTGAGGGGCTAAAGTTGACTTGAATCTCTCTGCACGTTTCTGTATCTTTTCCTGAGCTTTTGGGTCAGCAGTTGCATTGTAATTTGCTATTTGTGGCCTGCAACAAACAAATGCAAACAGTTCTCATGAACTGCCAAGCATATACACTTTGTCTTGGATCAAAACAATTTAACAAAAGTGCAAGGTAGTCCTGTTTATTATGGTGGCAGGACTATACATTGTACACAGGAGTCAGGAGTGCGAAATGAAAAAACAATTGTATTCACTTATTACTACTTACCCTTTAGCATTCTTCTTCCCTTTTTGAGGTTTTCCTCCCTTTCCTTTAGTTTTGGGCAATTTCTTTCCAAGTCGTTTAGGATCAAATGCTTTTGTCCTTGTCTTGCTATCAGGACTAACACTCCTACTTCTGCTTCTACTCCTACTTCTACTCCTACTGCCACTTCTAGAACGTGATAAACTCCTGCTCCTTTCCCTTCTTCTTCGAGGAACAGGTGGTGACCTCCTCCTTGAAGGATGCCATCTAGGGAGTTTTTTATCTTCTGGGGGCGACCTCCTCAGACTGTTGGATTAAATTAATCCACATGTAACTTCTCCCTAAGGCACATTATCCATATATTATCCAGCAAACAGGTTATGAGAATAATCAAACTTATCTGGTAGAAGTTCTAACCAACAATACTAATTGATCAAACATTAAATTCTCAGAACTAATTAGCAAGGACAGGTGCAGCAGCTAGAGGGGAGAATCAAAAATCAGATCTCCAGAGTAAAAGGGTTCATTCTTGCTTTAAATTTTGGCTACTTTAAACAA